TTCCCATAAGAAATAATGTAAATCCAGTTAATCTGTTCGAGACACCCAAAAATATTAACAAAAAATGCATTTTATAGAAAATAACTATAATTTTACATACAGAAAACAATGAGAAATAAATATATTTGACTATTGAAATGGATAAATGAACATTTAACATCACTTTTACCTTTATTGAAGATTCTTGTTGGTGTATGGAAGATGGCAAGAAGGGGAGAGGGAGGAGGAGAGGTTATTGTCTGGAAGGGAAATCCTCTTCCATAAAGACTTCAGGTATCAAGGCCCAATCTGGGGTTACTTCCCTTCTTTGTCTTTTACTGGCACTAGGACCAGCTTGAGAGTCACTGTACCCCTGTCACACAAAAAAATCTGTCCAGAGAGATCTGTTTCTAGCATCTCTTTAAGATTTGCCTAAAATGGGACAAGGCATTGTCAGTGAACATGTTGCATACACAGCTTGCAACAGCTTTCTTAGGGTGATATTTCTCCACAAAACTTTGCCGAGTGGCGGAGCCATGAGGAAGCGTTTGGTACGGACCATTTTTAATTCTACAAAAACCGAGCAGATGTATAAAAACTGGGACAAAATTTTGATGAAAAAAGTAGTCGAAAACCGAATCCTACAAAAACTGGGGCATACGAAAACCGAGGTTCCACTGTACTAGGTCTAGATTTAACCTTCTCTCTCTGTCTGTCCTGTAGAACTGTGTTATTGACACTAGGGTCCATCACACAGAACTAAGTCACTGATACCAGGGTCCTAACATAGTTCTAAGTTGAACTCAGTTTACATAGATAAGTTGTGAGCAGCAAATTTTGGCCAAGATATTAGAGAATTGGCCTGTGTTGTGAGTATGCACAGTATAATAATAAATCCTGCCTCATGCAGTGCATGTTGAGAAAAAGCAAAACTCTGACCATGTGTTTGATTTAACCCTTTCAGGGTCGACAGGCCCTCTCCCAAACTTATTCTCAGTCGAAAAATATTAAAAAAAAAAAAAAAAAAAAAATTCTTATGAAATGATAGTTTTTTTTGTGAGTATTATAGACCAAAAAAAAAAAATTGCGATCAATACTTACAGAGATATGGAGGCGTGAAGTTGACAGAAACTGAACCGCATACAGCAACATCACCCACTGCCGGTCACCCGGTAATAGTTTATTTTTATTTTTTTCTACTTTTTTCTTTTATTTTTTAATATTTTATTTTTTCAAGTAACTTTTATGGCCTCTGAGACCAATATAAAGACTATTTGGTATATATTCACTCATTGTATACTACACAATAACAGCACAAACTTTGCTGTCATTATAATGTTTACAAAACATGTTGACACAAACCAACAATAAAAAATGTTGTTTATTACTAGTTTTCTATCACATATATACACATATAGAGTCACTGGACAGGTTCCTGTAACTATAAGAGGTTCTGAAAGCTTGTAGTAGTGTGGGGGTGGACCTGTAAATATGCTGAGTCACCAGTGTGTCTTGTGTCACAATGATGTATCATACCACCACTTACTAACACTCACTGCCTTCCACAACACATCCCTTCCTCCCCACAAACCTACCTTCCTTCTTTCTTTCCTCCCTACCTTCCTTCCATCCTCTCATCTCTTCCTACCTACCTTCCCTCCTTCCTTTCATCTCTTCCTACCTACCTACCTTCCCTCCTTCCTTCCTTCCTTTCATCTCTTCCTACCTACCTACCTTCCTCCTTCCTTCCTTCCTTATTTCTTCCTTCCTTTTTTCTTCATTCAAGTAATTTTATGGCCTGTGAGACCAATAAAAGGTATACTGAATGTATATTTACTAGTTGTATGCTACACAATAATCATACAGTCATTATATTGTTTACACAACATGTTTACACAAACCAACAATAAAAAATGTTGTTTATTACTATTTTTCTATCACATATATACAGTTGTGATGAATGGTTTGAAAAACCGACAAGTTGAAGATTGAGACACTTATGCAGCATATGGGAATCTTTATTCAGGAAACGTTTTGCCACACAGTGGTTTCATCAGTCCAATACAAAGAGGAAGGCATAAGGAGAGGAGGAGTATGAGGTAATCAGTCCCTCAGCCTGGAGTCGATGTGTTCAGTCCATCAATCTTGTAGAATGTACAGCATAGGGCTGTAGACGTGGCTTATATACTGTAGTGAGGTGAGGTGAAGCAGGCGGAGGCGGGGTCATAGTGGTACCATCCACTAGTCGAAGTAGGTCTTCGTCCAAAGGTTGAACAAGTGTTGAAGAATTCTTTGTAACAAGATCCCATGATGCTGCAGTGTCTGACAGTTGTGATGAATGGTTTGAAAAACCGACAAGTTGAAGATTGAGACACTTATGCAGCATATGGGAATCTTTATTCAGGAAACGTTTCGCCACACAGTGGTTTCATCAGTCCAATACAAAGAGGAAGGCATAAGGAGAGGAGGAGTATGAGGTAATCAGTCCCTCAGCCTGGAGTCGATGTGTTCAGTCCATCAATCTTGTAGAATGTACAGCATAGGGCTGTAGACGTGGCTTATATACTGTAGTGAGGTGAGGTGAAGCAGGCGGAGGCGGGGTCATAGTGGTACCATCCACTAGTCGAAGTAGGGATCTTGTTACAAAGAATTCTTCAACACTTGTTCAACCTTTGGACGAAGACCTACTTCGACTTGTGGATGGTACCACTATGACCCCGCCTCTGCCTGCTTCACCTCACCTCACTACAGTATATAAGCCACGTCTACGGCCCTATGCTGTACATTCTACAAGATTGATGGACTGAACACATCGACTCCAGGCTGAGGGACTGATTACCTCATACTCCTCCTCTCCTTACGACTTCCTCTTTGTATTGGACTGATGAAGCCACTGTGTGGCGAAACGTTTCCTGAATAAAGATTCCCATATGCTGCATAAGTGTCTCAATCTTCAACTTGTCGGTTTTTCAAACCATTCATCACAACTGTCAGACACTGCAGCATCATGGGATCTTGTTACAAAGAATTCTTCAACACTTGTTCAACCTTTGGACGAAGACCTACTTCGACTAGTGGATGGTACCACTATGACCCCGCCTCCGCCTGCTTCACCTCACCTCACTACAGTATATAAGCCACGTCTACTGCCCTATGCTGTACATTCTACAAGATTGATGGACTGAACACATTGACTCCAGGCTGAGGGACTGATTACCTCATACTCCTCCTCTCCTTACGCCTTCCTCTTTGTATTGGATTGATGAAGCCACTGTGTGGCGAAACATTTCCTGAATAAAGATTCCCATATGCTGCATAAGTGTCTCAATCTTCCACATATATACACATATGAAGTCACTGGACACTTCCCAGAACTGCTACAGCTTCTGTAAAGCTCGTAATTGTTGTGTGGGGGTGGACTTGTAAATATGCTGAGTCACTGGCATAATTAGTGTCACAATGACAAATAACACCATCACTCACCACCCTCACTGCCTGTCAACACTCATCCCTTCCTCCCCACCCCACCAACCCACATGGAAATAAGTCACTGTCTAAATTTTTTGGGTTATCCTAGGTTGATGGTCTCCTTCCTTCCTTACTTCCTCCCTTCCTTCTCTCCTTCCTTCCTCTCATCTCTTCCTTTCTTCCTTCCTTCCTCTCATCTCTGCCTTCCTTCCTCTCTCTCTTTCTATCTTCCTTCCTTCAGGTTTCCTGGGTATTGCTTTTGGTCACAAACTCCTCAAAACCATGAAATTCATCTTCACTGACACTTGCATCTGTGTTTGAACTGTTACTTGGGAACAAAAGAGCCCCAATTAGCCAAGGAATGAGGAGTTTCTTAGCACTAGACATGGTGAACAAGGTGTAATAAAATGGCTTTCCCACAGTGCACCACTGGGTCCCCAATTTTTTTTTGTACCACGCACACTGACCATGGAGACCCATTCTCTCACATCAAGGACTACCAGCCTCTTCCTGCTTGATTTGAGGACTGTGAAGGCTTACTCAGCCCTGTAACAACTTCAGACAGTATTACCAAGGCTGGCTCCTCCTCAGGAAAATTAGTGAATAGAAAAAGAAATAATAACAGACAAACATAAACACTTTATTATATAGAAAATATAAAACACTTAAATATGAAATATTAATCCTACATTAAAGAAAATGAAAAATGAAAAATATAAATGATAACTGAATTCAACGCTAATATATATATCGGGGTGTCTGGTGTTGGTGACACTGCTTGTTGTTGAAATCGTAGCCGTTGCCGATGATGGGGGGGGGGGTCGCAGGTGTTGATGACAACCCACCGGCTTGTTCTTCACAGAGTCTATCCGTGAATACTCAGTCTAGATGATAGGAAAGCAGGTTTTTTTCCACTGCAATGATGAGGGGTTATATCCTGCTACTTCATACAGGTGCACAGGTAATTAAATTCAAAAAGGGGAAGTCTCAGGACGTTAGTCCATCTCCATCAGTTCTGCTCGTTGATTGGCAGGTGACCCTCTCTGTCATCCAAGAGTAGTGCTGGGAGCTGCGAGTCTAGTGATTACTGTTTGGACCAGAGCCCCACACGTCACCTTTCGGGGGGGGGGAGAAGGAGGGGAAGGGATAGTGGGAGCTAGACTGACTCTACCTTAACAAGCAGCCGGCAGTCAAACTATCACTTTCGGGGTGGGGGAATAAAGGCGGGAATAGCGGGAGCTTGACTTACCCTACCTTAACAAGTAGCCGGCAATGAAACTATTGTTACTATATACTCCCTCGCTACTCCTATCTATTGAACTTTTCCCTCACAAGGACACTAGAATTTATGCGTACTAGTACGTCAATAACCCTGGTGCATAAGACGTACTAGTACGTCAGAAACCCTGAAAGGGCTAAAATAGCAACTTTGAGTTGTTTTCTATGATGGTTTTTATGGTCTTATTTTAATCATTAAAATAAGACCTCTGAATATTGCTAGGAAATTCAGTTTATCTCCAAGCATTACAAGGCAATATATCACTGAGACCTACCTGGACTTCGTGTATCTCCTACGATGGGCTGCTTCTGAACCGGAGGCTTTAGTTTTGCCAGGAGGAATCTGAGTCAGTAAGTATGTAATAATAAGTATTCTTTCTTCATGCGATAATGTCAACAGGAAATAGTGGCTAAATTAATGGACATTTTTGAATAAAGTAGAAAAATGAAAACATATAAAGCAAATAAACTTTTTAATTATAGCTAGAGTTTGTGTCTGCAAAATTATAAAAGAACTGTAATCTCTCATAACAATACAATATTTAAAAGCAAGCAATGCTCCTAATACTTGAGAGACTTAGCAACACAAAACATATTCTATATATGGAATTTTACAAGAATGGTCAAGCAATGCAAGAGATTCACACTCATGGTTCAGCACCTCAATTTAGATAAATCTGTTGAATATGCCATGCATTTAGGCAGAAAACAAACTATAGTACTAACAATCACAAAACACAGTTCAGGTCTGAACACATTCTCAGGGTCAGTTACAGTACATTTAGTCCTAGGTCTATTTGCCAGTTGAATGGTGGGTTATTAAATTCCTGGGGGAGTATTAAACCCTCAGGAGTCACACAGTGCTGGGAGGAGGGTGGTAAACGACACTTAGATGCAACGGGTACCTTAACTGACGATAATGCTTAACCCATTCAGAGGCTTTATCAAGTCAACAGACAATACATGAGAAAGAGGTGATATGCACTTTAGTATCCTGGGATGAGAGAGCACTGTAATGTCCACCTCACTACATAGTTGGCTCCTGGACACCTGGATAAGTTGCAAGTACAGTGGTACCCTGAGTTTCACACAGCTCCCAACTCGAACAATTATGTAAGTGTATTATTGTAAGTGCTTTTGTAAGTGTATGTTTGGGGGTCTGAAACGGACTAATCTAATTTACATTATTTCTTATGGGAACAAATTCGTTCAGTAACAGCACTCGAACAGCCTTCTGGAATGAATTATGGCTGAAACTCCGGGTACCACTGTACAATGTAAGCTGAAGGTATTATAATAATGGATCTATCTTGGTTCTGCACATTGTTCATTGTGTTAGAAGAGCTAAAAGAGGCAGGTTCCAAATTTTTCTCTTTGTCTCTTTTTAGAATAACTAGTTTAACATCTGTCCATTCACCCTTAAACTGTCCAAATGTAGATCTACGTTTGCACGCGTAGTGCTCCAAACATAGATCAACGTTTTATTTTTCATTTCTTCAAATTTGGCACCATAGGTTTCAGTTGCCTATATACATGAAAGAATGGGTCTGTGCACTTAGTGTTTACCTGGAGTTTACCTGGAGAGAGTTCCGGGGGTCAACGCCCCCACGGCCTGGTCTGTGACCAGGCCTCATGGTGGATCAGCGTCTGATCAACCAGGCTGTTACTGCTGGCTGCATGCAATCCAACAAACTAGCCACAGCCCAGCTGGTCAGGTACTGACTTTAGGTGCTTGTCCAGTGCCTGCTTGAAGACAGCCAGGGGTTTATTGGTAATCCCCCTTATGTATGCTGGGAGGCAGTTGAACAGTGTGCACTATTAAAAAAATCTGGGAGCATTTAGTACCTTGCCATGCTAGAGCAAATAGCATGGCAACACCAAGGATTCACTGATGCCATGTCGCATTAACACTCCCATTTTAAGAGGAAAGTAAAAATAGGTTAGATAAATACATGAGTGAGTGTGGGTGGCCATGAGTTGGACCTGACTAGCTTGTGCTACTAGGTCTGATGTCATGCTCCTTCCTTCAATGGATGTAACCTGACTAGGTGGGTCATTGGTCTAAGCTGGGGAGGTGGGTGGAATGTACCTGCCTTGCATGGGCCAGTAGGCCTCCTGCAGTGTTCCTTCTTTCTTATGTTCTTATGTATTCGGCAGGCTGGCTGGTTGGCTTGCTTTGGCTGTCTATATCTCTGTCTATCTATATACAGTAGGGCCCCACTTATACGGCGGGTTAGGTTCCAGGCTGTCGCCGGAAAGCAGACATCGCCGGAAGGCAGAAAGCCATTTTTTCCATTTATAAATGCATATAAATGCCAGACAACAAGTTTACATTAAATTATATTAAGTAATAGAACTAGGCATTAAAAACACAAAGTAAAATACATTCACAGTACAGTCATTACTTATCTTAAAGTACTTGTAATCTTAATGTAGGGAGAGAGGTGAGTAGTACTTATTTGTAGGAAGTCAGGTGCAGGTAGCCCTGGTGCAGGTAGCCCAGGGGTAAGTAGCCCTGGCTCCCCATCTCATACTTTATATAAGGTATTTAAAACATCCAAGAGAGGTAAAATACACATACAGTACACTCATTATTTACCTTAAAATATGTGTAGTCTTAATATAGGAAGAGAGGTGAGTAGTATTTATTTGAAGGAAGTCAGTGTAGGTAGCCGGTAGGTGTAGCCCGCCTGGGCTACACCTACCGGCTACCTACACTGTTGCCCAGAGCCATATTATTAACATCGACATACCTTGTTCACTGAATTTAATCATTTCTAACAATTACCTTTAGATACCATCATAAACGAAGGGAGAAGTAATGAATAATTCATGCCGAAAATTGTAAACAAAAGCGGAGTGGGGGAGTGGCTGGGCCAAACGCAGATTCATACACGTTTTCTCTGATGGCTGAGCAGAGAAAATGTAATGTTGTCCCTCCACCCGGCTACCACACAGGTCCACAAGTATTATTATCAGAGCACATATAAAATATGCAATAAATGCCAGACAACAAGTTTACACTAACTTATATTAAGTTAGCAATAGAAATAGGCATTTAAAACACAATAAAAGGTAAGATACACACAGAGTATACTTGTTAGTTACCTTAAAATATTAATATTAATGTGTGAGAGGTGAGCAGCAGGGTGTTTATTGAATAAAATCAGAATGGCACACCATCATCCTCTAACTTGGCACTTAAAGCAAGAGGCTTACGACTCCTCTTTTTATTACAGCTAACCTTCGACGCCATCGTCAATGAGAGCCAACTAGTTCATGAAAGAGTAAACGAGAGAGAGAACGAGATACAGAGTTCAGACATTGTAAGAATACAAACTGAACAGGTAGGGGACGATCACTTGGTCAGGCTAAATAAATGAGTATTAATATGTGACTACTTTTAGCTCATTCACGTATGTTTGTAAGAGTTTGTAAAACATTTACCTCAATATTTTTTTATTATAATAATAATTACCTCACAATACAAATGCTCTTACATTGTGTACAAGTTGTACAAGTTAGTACAGAATAAACAAACAGCAACACACCATTTTTAGAGTGAATAAAGATATTATTATTATTATTATATTATTTATTATAAAAAGCACTAAACCCACAAAGGTCGTGAATTGCTATATATAGAGTAAAGGCATACGAAAAGAATATTTTTCTACAGTTACCCCCCAGTGTTTGACTAGAGAAAACGTAATTCTTCCGACATTACCTACACAGCCGCTTTGTAAACAAATCTCATATTTACGTCAATTTTTATTCTGTGAGTGTATCATGTTTATATGCTATGTAACGGGTTTCATATATAATTTTGAGGAAAATATCATAGATGGATTAATGAAAATGCCTATATTAATGTAAAATAAGACATTTAGTGTGCCCAAGAGTGATTATTATTCCGTAGTATATTGGCGTCATGAGTAGAGAGAGACTTAGTGATTTTAATGTGTACCTGCACACCAGCACAGTGTGTAAGTATATTTAGGTACAGGTACACATAAGTATAATTATCAGAGTATATATAAAATACGCAGAAACTTTAAAACACTTGAAATTTTGGAAAGTTTCCTGACATAATAGATGTGGTCACAGAGAATGTAAACAAACTGGGTGGGGCGCACCATATTTGAAAGACCGCTTGCCGTATAGCAAATTTTGGTCATAATTTGACATCGCCGTATTAATGGAATGCCGTAAAGTGGGGCCCTACTGTATCTGCCTATCTATATCTCTGTCTCACATGAACACACAAGTACAGCTATTATACATAGTGTAAATTACCAAGGATAATCCAAAAATTCCAGGCAAAGATAGACAGACAGATAGACAGACAGATAGATAGATAGATAGACAGACAGATAGACAGAAACATGTTTGTGTGTATCAGTGAAAACGAAGCCAGGGTTCCCCAGAGCACCCATTTATGAAATGTTACCAAGCTGATAACAGATGTCATAACACAATTCTTCAAGGAGTGTGATATACTCCCGGCAGACAGAAAGACAGATAAGCAGAGACAGACAGACAGGCAGATAGACAGAGACAGGCAGATAGGCAGACAGGCAGACAGACAGATAAATAGACAGAGACAAGTGATAACAAATACAGCAAGGGTTAGCTGCAGCAGTGGGCATTTATCAAATGTCACTAGGCTGTTAACAGTACAGGGATGCCTTTCATAACACCATGCCTCAAGGTATATGCCAAGGTATCTAAAACATTGCTGGGACCTATAAATACTTTGTATATATTTCTAGACAATAGTAAATAACCCAAGCAGGTGTAAAGGTTCACCTGTCAATGTGTTGTGACTATTTGAGCACAATTTCAGTACCTAATATTAGTGTCAGAACAAAGATTGGCTATGCAATTACAAGAACTATTATAAATTGTAATTTTCAGAACATAAAAAATATATAAATTAAAATAAAAATGAGAAAAACAGGTATATCGGCAACACTTCTGCAAGCGGCAGGAGTCGATGTTGCCGACAGGTGAGCATCCAGAGCCAACTTCACGGTCTTATATCTCGGTAAGTACTGACCCTAATTTTTTTTTTAATCCTATAACATGTAGAAAAATGTGCTCTTCATTTTAAAAGAAAAAAAAAAAAAAAATTTTTAAAACTATTCGGAGCACCATGCGAGTGAACGTAGATCTATGTTTGGACAGTTTAAGGGTTAAGAACAAAAGTTCACAATACGGTGACTGGAAAAAATAACCGGCACACTGGAGGAAGAACATAGCCGTAAGTTTCTTTCTCCTATGTATTTATTTATTTATTTATTTGAACATGATACATAGAAGTACAAGGAAATACAGTGGACC